TTAACTGATGAAAAAAAGCCGGAGAAAATAACTAAATTATATTTAGGAGAAAAATAAAGCCAGTAAAATATAGAAAAGAGGAAAATTCAGTTTTCAAAGTAGGAGGAAAAATTGTGTGATGTTAGATGATATTATTATCTTTAAAACAATTGTGTTAGACGGATAAAATAAGTAATTGTTTTCCTTGCTGTTTCGGGGCAAGTCTTTTGGATAAACAACAAGTCTTTTGGACTACCATAATGTCGTTTTAGTTCTTGTTTTTATATCTCACGCTGGGGCCTTTAATGGTTGGTAAATAGTGAATCAAAAAATAAACAAAATATAATTATAAGAAATTACATATACTATTTTACATACTTTCAAAGAAAGATAAGCCATTAGGGCTTTCTGAGAAAAAATACAACAGAATAAGAAACAAATTATTATACAAATTTATATCTCAATTACAGCATAAATTTAGAATTGTGAATTATTTCATGCCCCTGCAAGGAATTTTTGGGATTCCCTCTTGTAATGTTTCTTCAAACAAACTTGTAGCTTATTTCCCGAGACATGATAAGAAAAAAAAAACAGTATGAGAATATATTCTTTGAATATAAAAAGCATAATTTGTATAAGAAAGTCAGATTATTTTAAAGCAAAGCTGAGAGCAATTTGTAAGTGCAAAACGGTAGTCAACACTAGAGAAATGGTAGTGTATTAGCAAATATAGATTATGAATACAAAATAGTGGAGTACAGTCAATGAATATCAACGACTAAAGTATAAATAGCAGTAAATAGTCAACAGTAAATTAGAAACGGGAAATTGCCTGACAGAGATAAGGAAAACAGGAAAGTATAAAATGAAGTTATATACATGACATGCAGTAATATACACGGCTGGCACCTATCTTACCAAGAAATTTATGCTGTAGGTAAGAAATTTATATATGCATTTGGTTCAGGTTATATTCAGTTGTTGGAAACAATATATACCTTAAGTAATTGAAACAAAATATGGCAATACACATGGCTACCAGCTATATTATCCAGAAATTTATGCCATAAGTGAGACATAAAAATACAATCTAGAATAGTAATAAATTGTTGGAGAAAATCTATTTGCTGTCAATAATATGTACTGTAAGTAAATTTTAAAAAGCCTTACTATATATAGGACCAGTAAACACATTATTAAGGAGTTTATGAAAATAAAATATGTTGCTATAACTCTGAAACAATAAGAGCAACATCAATGATAAATATATCTATAATAACAATTACGTAACATATGTTAACAAAAAATGATATATAATATCATCATAATCGGAGAAGGACAAAATACTTGAATATAAAAAAACCAAGCCTTTGATAAATAAAGGCAGTTGATTGTAACAAAATTTAGGACACTATGTAAATATGCCGTCTGAGTTAGCAAAGTAAAAATAATAGTAAGCTATCAGAAATACAACGAAGAAGAAAAAGAGTGAAGAACAGGGAAGAAGAGAGAGATTGAAGAACAGAGGAAATGAACATATATATACAAAATAGTACCTTAGACAAAAACAGATTTTATAAATATAATTATATATAATAAAACTAAAACAGGAGACAAAATAAAATATGTTGGCATAAGCTCAAAATAATAAGGGCAACATCAAGAGTAGCCATATTTTTAGTAACAATTACTCAGCACATATTAACAACAAATGAAATATAACATCATCATAACCATGAGGGACTAAAATACTCTGATATCAAAAAGGATATTTTTGATACAGCCAAACGTTATATCTCAAAGAGATTTAGGAAATTATGTGAATATAGATTATTAGTTAATGAAATTAGAACAGAAATAAGTAACTGAAAATAAAATAGAAAAGGCAAAACATAAAGTACAGTATAAAACACCTCATATAACCAACAAATATAACATTGTAAAATAATATTTTAAAACAAATCAACCAAAATAACTTGAGAAAATGATTACCTTATTGAACGGACAGCGAGTAGAACGATAGATCAAAGAGAACAACGAAAATTACTGAGTAGGAGGAATAGAACGCAGATATTTAAAGAAGGTGATAGGATTAGTAAGAGATGAGTAGTGTTGTTATGGCAGTTAAAGACGGGAAAAACAGAAAGAACAGAATATGATGGATGATAGTAGCTGAAGAACGTAGACAAAGAAAGAGTAAAATGATAACAGACAGTATATATAGAAAAATTTACCAGTGTCTTGCTTAATATCGAATACAAATCCCTGCAAACAGAAACCAATAAAAGTAATGATTTATTAGCAACAGGCGTCACACTGCATGAACATCACCGCAAAAAATAAGCAATAAATAACCGGCAGCTATTTTTTGTTTAGATATTACACAAAACGCAAAAATTACAGATACACGTGGCAAATAAGAAGGGCATTATAAATATTATTACATTAAAACGATAACAAATATTAGTCATTTATTCAAATTAATATACGTAAACGGAAATTATACATATGCTAAAAGTAGGAGCCCAAAGGAAAAAAAAATGTAAAAAATTATAAAATTATAAAAAATATTTTTCTTTTTCCTCACTAATATAATAATCGATTGACAAAAAAAAAAGAATCAAAAAAGAAAAACCCGAACGTAGATCTAAAAGAAACAGGACAGTATTGAAAAAATGGGGAAAAATAAAAATACGGATCTGAAAAATATGAACAAACACATGAAATGAAAACCAAAATATTCAACCAAAACACTGTACAATAATAACAAATAGCGTAATCGGACCAAAAATTAACATGCATGTACAACTAATGAGACAAAATGTAATATAAAGCATTCAGAAACATATATATATACAAAAAAAAAAAAGGAGAGATGCAACTACAATAAATCTAGTGAGGGAGGAAAAAAGATCTACAGAGTTACAGGAAGAAGATATTTAGAGAACGAAGAAATGGGACAAAAAACCAAACAAAATAGACTAATCTAAAAGGTTGAAGAAGGGAAAAAAATAAATATTTAAATATAGATCCAGAAACAGTAAAGATAAACATATATGCAGAAGATTACAGAAACGAACGAACCCAAAGAAAAATATAAGCCTGTTCAGTGCAAATACGAAAAGATATAAGCAGATCTAGATCTAGCAAGAAGGAAAAAAACCCAGATTTTACAAAAAAAACAAATATGACAAACGAAAAAATATGAACAAATATTTACAAAAATAAAGGAATTTAAAAGGTTTCAAAAAGAAAAACCAAAAGGGGAAAAAGCATATCCAGAAACAAAAGCTAGATAAACATAAATGTAGAAACTCATAAGAACAAACAGACCAAAAAAAAAACACAACCCTAATCGCTCCAAATATGCAAAAAGGAAAACGGATCTAAAAGGTTACAGAGGAAAACAAACGGAGAAAAGGGGAAAAAAGGAAAAACCCTCAATCTCAGTTAAAAAAAATTTTGAAAATTGCAATAGCAAAGCAACGGAAGGTGTAAATGACAACAGGAAGAAATAATGGAAAAATGGCGGAGATCAACAAACAGAAAATAGGGGAAAAAACTGAGGTTCTGTATCGATGAAAGAAGATTCTAGAATGTGACGGAAGGAAAAATATGGAAGAGAAAGAGAGAGAAAAGGCTACAGATAAGACTGAAATGAGGGAAATGAATCACGGGCAAACGACATAAGCATAAAATTAGTAAATGACCAAAATGGTCACGGCAAATGTGCACACAAAAAGCCCTAGTGAAGGGTAGTATCGTCATTTTACTCTCGGGACACGGCCGTAATTAAAATTTTAGCAAAAGAAAAAATCAGGGCTAAAATGGAAAGACACTGTTCATAACACTGTAGCATGAACAGTGAATCTCGTCCTCTCTTTTACTGTATCATGAACAGTGAATCCCGTCATCTCTTTTAGTATATGTATAATATGCATCTTATTTCATCATTTGAATTTGAATAAAGTTACTGCCTTGTTTGTCCTTCATTCGAACTTATCTCCTCTAGATATTTCCATTAACGACGTCATTTATATAATGATAAATTTAATGATTATATGTTTGACAATGATATCATCGTTGTCATAATGGTGTGCGCGATAATATGACTTAACAACAGATTATTTCTTGGCACTGCAACACGTCTGCTAATTATATTATCATTATTGTAATCATCCTGTTACTGTAGCGTGTTTGAAATTACAAATTTACACGTCTAAATTATTAAGTCATCATCATCTTAACGATGTAACAGATAATGATGGTACAACGCAAATTTTTTTGTTTTTTTGAAGTTATGGCACAACGCAAATCGGTACTACACATGTCTGATAATCACATTATTATTATTATTATTATTATTATTATTATTATTATTATTATTGTTGTTGTTGTTGTTTTGTTATTGTAATGCGTTCGGATTTAAGTTGAGAAAATAATGATGTGCGAAAAAGCAGGGCTTTCTATTTATTTTTTTTTCTCCCGGCTTCTTAATTTGAATGGAGTCTTTACCATAATTAATGGTGTCATGATCTAATCTAATGTTTGCTTTTTGTTTCTTAAAGAAATACTAGTATTATTTATTCTGTTGCTTCCTTTATCACTCTCTTCCGTCACTGACGCAAACTTTCTTTAAATAAAAAATGAGATAATAAAATTCGCGTGTCAAACAATAAATAAAAAGAGTGATAAAAAAAATAATAGAAAGAGTATATACATTACCGACTTTACAAATTCAAGGAGAAAGGGATGAGTTAAAGTGTTAAAAATTAGCGTAATCTAACCAGACGTATATACAAAAATTTAAAATATTTTACAAACAAATAACAATGTTGTAGCATAAAATTAAAATGTGAATCGTTTATAACAATTACTGAATAATTTTGCTATTCCAAAAATCTTTTTTTTTTTTTTTGAAAGAAAAGGTTATATTTTATATAACAAATTTGAAGTCACACCATCAGGGAAAATAACACAATGAAAAGTGCAAGAGCCAAATATCACGGGCCCAAACAAATTAACTTCGGTTGAACATAATAGCCTGAAAATGAAGATTTATATTATACAATCAGCCGAGTATTGGGGAATGACTGACAAAAAATTGCAAAAATATTTAGAAACAAGAAAATGATATTATTATTTGTTACTCTTCAAATCTTTCATCAAAAATATATATATGTGGGAATTGGCATTCAAACACACATTTGATTAATCAAAGTCTCTCCGATCATCTGCCGCCGTTACAGGAACCGAAGAACATAATTAGGCAGCACCTTTGGAGACCCCTCTGACCTCAGGCGATGGCGATGGATTACCGGGGATGACCTGTGTTATGTGCAAACTTATGTCAATAGCAGTCTCACGAGGCAGTGAAGAGAGAAGGGATCCGAGCATTTTATTGGACACAGAAAATTGATCAGACTCAGAAAGGTACCTTCATGGGGTAGACTTCGGTAACTTCTTCAGTACCCTCGTCCAAGTACACAACATCCTGCATGGTGAGTTGGTGGTATTCAACAACCTCCCTCAGAAAACGATTCTCACGAGCATAAACTGAGTTCTCATGCGCCAACCTTGCCTTCTCCGCCAGAAGCGTTTCAAGTTGAAGCCGTATCTGCAATGGAAACACTGGCATCAGAAATGGAATTTTGTAACGCAAGCGGGATAAGCTTGCTCTGACAATTACAATGGCTCGTGGAATGAAACTAATCAGCTCTAGTTTCTTTCAGTCTTTATTTGCTTACTGATATGTTGATATGAATCTCAGTCAGTCATATTATCCTGTCATTCTTTTTTGCCTTCAAAGCTAACTCTACCTAAATTTTTTCCTTCAACTTCCTCATTGACTTGGTTTCAGGAAGACAAGCTCGAATGTGTCGAGTTCAAGAAACCATAGCAGTTTAACACGACAGTCTTAATTCAAGTAGTTATATGAAGAAGTGTAACGTAGATGAGCTGGAGCCAGTAACACGCATCAGCCTCAGTATCTTAACGCACCAAGAGAAAGTGTAACTAATTCCATAGAGAGTCCACCCCAGTTCTTTCGATTCTTAATAAGATTAGAGCAAGTGAAAAGCATCCGGTTGGGCATTTGTGAAGTGCATATTTCCAATCAGTGATATAAGTTTAAGTAAATTCCATATGAAATGAACAAAAGGTGATTGAAACAAAGAAAAATAGAAAGTACCAAATCATCGTCTTCTGGGTCATCTCCTCTTTCCCGATTCTCACGAAGGATTTTATTTTCCTCCTCCAGTTGAGCACATCGCTCCTTTGCAAAAGCAAAATCTGCCTTTACAGTCTTCAACTCTCTAAGAAGTAGTTTTGCTTTAGCTGCCATTGCCATCGCAACCTGTAATGTCAACCAAAAGGCAAATCTCATGTATTTTGTCACCGATAAACATCAAAACAATAAGTAAAGCTACCCTAGAAAGAACTCCTTAATCTGCAACTGCCTCCTCCCTCTCCACCTAAATCTCTTTTCCATTTGCATAGTTTTTCAGGGACAACCCAACAGCACAATAGCAGTGGAGGTGACCATGAAGAGCCTTCTTAGGAATTAAGCTTGCAGCAAACAAGAATGAACTCGGTACTGCAGCAAATTAAGCTTAGAGTCATTCAAGACTTCAGATTCACTGAATGTTTCAATTATTTTTATGCAGATTCCTCAGAAATGATACAATACTAATACTATGTGTAATGTATCCAACAATCCCTAATCACTAACGATCTATCTGGATAGCATATCTTATCAGGGAACCCATATGTAAACATTTGTACTATAAAAACTAGTGACACACAGTTGCCACCTTACGTCGCGGGATGCCTTCAATTGAAGTTCTAGGTCGGTTTGCATCTGGGATTGTGAGTTCTGTGCTTGATTTTGTGACTCAGAACTGCCAGGCTTTTTCCTTATATGCTTACGAGTTTCTTGGATGATGTCTACAGTTCGGTTCTCCACACGGGTAATTCCCTCCTGGGAACAAGGAAACAAACAAAGGAAAACAATATATGTAACTACATTGGCATGCTGAACTGTTTCGAGAGGTGGAAAGAGAGAAGCAAATAAGAACGTCTTCTTGCAGAAAGATTCATGCATTGCGCATATAAAATGGTATTTGGTCGCCCACACAGGGATTTTCAGAAAACACAAATGAAGTTATAAACAATCATAAAATGTTCTGGTAATAAACTAAAGAGTAAGAAAAACACTGCAACCCTGCAACCACTCCAAATACACAATCAACCATGGAAAGAACTGTACTTTGTAAGTTATTTCAGCAAACCGTATGAGAAAGCTTACCTCCAATGCATTACCAATGGTGCCACCAATATAGTTGAAGGAAGATGTGAGTGCATCCAATCTCTTCTGCAATGTCGGATTATCTGTTCTTCTACGGCTCTCTCCTGACTGATCCGGACCATGGTACTGCATATAAGCGGTAAACAATAAATCGCATCAGATTTTACGACTCAACAGCTATAAAATTACCCGAGTCTGGAACATCAGCTACATGTCAGCAACATTACCAAATAAGAAGATATGATGCATGATCAATAATGTCCCTACATGGAATAGAATTTCCAAAGCAAGCATCTAACAAAACTTTTCATCCAATTTAAAGCTAAGAATCATTAAGAAGTCCCACCTTGCCCCTTGTTTCTGTAGTGGGCATCTCCACCTTCGTTCTTTGGGGTCTATCGAATTGTTGAGGCTCATTGTCATCATCAAGAATAGCTTTGGCTTTTCTAGCCAGAGTACCCCAAAACCCTTGTTTGGGCTCATTCAAATTCTTCATTGATGTATACTCGTAGGACCTCGACTCCTACATTCACGAATTCCACAACATGGAAACAAAAAACCTCTATTATTACTTAGCAATGAATTGCAAACATAACATTCAACATCCAAACCAAAGTCCAGTTTCTTCCCCCACAGAACTAATAAATATAAGGGAAACAAGAGAAACAAAAGTTCCCTTCTCTCTCATCCAATGGAAATTGTTAAATTTAGCGGGAAAAAGGTTTGATTATTAGAAAATGTAATAGAATTCAATTGTCATCAACACTTGTGTTCAATTGTGTCAAAAATTAAAAGCAATTAAGAAATGAACCTCCAAAGAACAAGAACCCCACCTTGGAAAATGACGCAGGAGGGGATGGCGTAACGGGAATCGGATATCGGGAAGCAGACGATGTCGATGTCGTTGAAGAGACTGTCCCGCGACCAACTCCAGCTCCGCCGCCGCCGCCGCCGTAAGCAGAGGAGAGAGAGGAATCTCGATAGGCCGAAGACGCTCTTATGGCCTTGGCCGCAAGCGAAGAAGACGAAGACGAAGACGAAGACGAAGAATACCAATCGTTTCCATAAGCAGAAGCTGAGATCGAAGGAGGTGGGGACAGAGAATTGTTCCCATTTTCTTCTTCGTTAAAGGTTGTCGTTGAAGGCCTCGAATTCGATATTCCCTGCTGCCTCCTTCTGTACGCCATTAAAATCCCCTCACTCTCTATCTCCTCTTCAATACACACACATACGAAATTCCCCAATAGAGAATTCGAATTCTGAGAATTCCCGACCGAGAGGAAAAGGCCCTAATCTAATCCATGAACCGCCGAAATTTCGCCATAAAACAGAGAAGAATCTTGAAATGGAAATGGTATAGAATCAGAGATAAAGATTGATTGAGAAAGTGACACTCTGATTTTTCCCTTTTGGGGGACGAAAATGAAATCCCTCCTCCTTCCTTCTTCGTCGTCTTCTTCTCTTCTTCAGCTTCTCTCTCCTCGTTTTCTCTCTCCTCACTTGTTCAACGCCCATGTTTGATGTTTCCTTTCTTTCTTCCAAACTTACGGGATCCGACCCCGTTCGTCAGGGTGGCTGTTCTGTCTGACCCGCTATTGGAAAGGCCCATTGGACCAAACCCATTTGCCTATTACACGGGCCCAACTAAATGAGCTCTGCAATAATACCCAGGAAATTAGGGCTCCTTACGCAAAATTTAAACGGACGAATTTAAATATAGCAATATATGTATATTTTTAAAATATTAAAAGAATGAGCAACATGAAGTACAAAATGTGATATTATTATGATAATGACTATGTCATTTTTATTATATTTATAATATTTTGTAAAGTTTCAACTCAACCTTAATATAAGAAATTTTACTATGTAGTGTAATTATCTTTGAAAAATTAGCGATACATCTTTTTAAAAAAATATTTCTGATAAATAGGATATCTTAACATACTTATGCGATAGAGTACCTCACCATACATATTTTCTGAAAAATACTATTTATCTCTTCTCCCTTATACCCACCACCTAATGAATATCGGCAGCCCAGTTCTGCAACTTTACCATAAGACTTCAAGGGTTTACTAAAAAACTGTCACCAAGAGTCTACATTAAACAACGGTTTTCAACACACACACAAAAATAAAATAAAATAAAATCTTTGAATTCTATGTATGGACTTTCAAAACACGAGTACTTGTGTATCGGATTTACATCACTTGTTTAATTTTTTTATTCAAGTAATTAGTATATATAGTTCTTAACCTATTCAGTAAGTCCCACTTTGATTCATATTCTTTTAATCTTAACAAAATAACCCTCAAACTCTTTAATTAGGCGCAAAAAACACCTTTCAGTCTAAAATTGTTAAATTACTAACTGAAAATCACACGTGACCCACATGGTACAACACTGAAAAGACAGAAATGCCCTCAAATCTCTACAAGAAAAAAAAAACACTTCAATTCGATTTTTTTTCAATTTTCTTTAATTAATAAAACTCAAACCCAGATTCTTTTCTTCTACAAACTTCAAACCCAGATCAATTACTTGAATCGAGCCCAACGTCGCACGAGCAGAGTCTCCTTTCGTCGAATCCAACCACTTTGCCGCCCAAATCCTTCCTCGTCGTAGGCTGGCGCCGCCGGAAGCTCAACCGAGCTCATCTTTTTGCAACTCTTTCGGCGCCCTCTGCCTACTAGATCCAACCACTTCGCTGCCCAAATCAGGTTAAAGAGAATCTTGTGTTAGAAATCAAAGATTTGGTGAAAACCATCACCCAAAAGCCAAGAACATTCATGTTAGATCATCAAGAATTAATAAATCTGTAAGCGAAAGTGTACCTAAATCCATATTGCTTGATTTCTCTCTAGAGTCGTGCAGTTTGTCTTCCAGATCAACACGTTTTCTAGAGAACCCTTTAACTTTCTCTCTGTACTCTTTCTGATGATGGGATGTTAGAATGAATGAAATGATCCGTGTGATCTGGGGACCATAACTGCCATATATTGATAACTTCCCTGTTATCTTTTGGTATTTCTATTTTAGCTCATCATAAAAATAGAAATTACCCTTAAGTCTCTACACATTAAAGGCTCACACCCTATTAAATACATTAAAGCCCAAAATATCTAAACCTTAGTAGATCACTTTTAATTAGGCTTAACCTTATATGATAGTCCGCAACACATAATTATTCACATATAAGCCCAACGTTAGATTAAGGATCCAACAATCTCCCACTTGGGCTATATGTGTAACCTTATAATTATGCTTTGCAAAAATAACCGTATGAGCTCAACTTTGTTGTCATTACCGAAATGTATCTGTAACCAATCCGGTCCATCAATCATACCAACATAGGATCAAAGCGGCATTCGTTACAACTGTCATAACTCGACCCATCAATGGTCACGTATGCCAATACAACTGAATAACATGGATTATGATGTGAATGTGTAGCATGAAAATTTCATGTATTGTGATCTTAACATGCCTATTTCCAACTAGTCCACCTTAAACCTTAGTGAGATCAAACCATACCAAAATCAGAGTGTGAATAAACTAAAACTTTATTTCTGCAGAAAATAACCTCAAAATATCCATAAACTGAAATAACTGAAAATATGTCTATATCATAGAAGCATCTAAAATTACAAACTCCCATTAAAACTGAATATCCTCTAATGACATGACACCCATATGAGCAGTGTGCTCATGAAATACTTTGGGTGGCAATCCCTTAGTAAGCGGATCCGTAACCATGGAGTTTATACCGATGTGCTCTATAGACAATTGTCCACTCTGAACTCTTTCCTTGACAACTAGGAACTTGATGTCTATATGCTTTGACTTCGTCGAGCTCCTATTGTTGTTGGAATACATCACTGCTGACTTATTGTCACAAAATAACTTGAGTGGCCTTTCAATGCCATCCACTATGCGCAGCCCCGTGACAAAATTTTGCAGCCATATTCCGTGATTGGACGCCTCATAGCATGCTATGAACTCTGCTGCCATGGTAGAATAGGCTATAAGAGACTGTTTAGCACTCTTCCAGGAGACAGCACCTCCAGCTAGCAGGTAGATATAGCCCAACGTAGATTTCATACTATTTAGGCATCCAGCAAAATCGGAGTCAGTATACCCAACGATCTCAAGCTGATCCGACCTCCGATACGTGAGCATGTAGTCTTTTGTTCTCTGTAAGTACTGCAAAACCCGTTTGGCTGCTTTCCAATGGTCTACTCCTGGATTACTTAAATACTTGCCTAACATCCCAGTAACGTACGCAATATCCAGACGCATAGAAACCTGAGCATACATTAGACTTCCTATTGTTGATGCATAAGGAATCTTCTGCATTTCCTTTTCCTCAAAATCATTCTTAGGGCACTGATTGAGAATAAACTTGTCTCCTTTAGCCACAGGGGTATCACCTGGTTTGCAATCCTGCATGCTATATCTCTTGAGAACCTTTTCGATATAGCTCTTTTGTGATAATCTAAGAATACCACGAGTGCGATCTCGGTGTATATGTATGCCTAATACAAAAGAGGCATCACCAAGATCTTTCATCTCAAAATTCTTAGCTAGAAATCTCTTGGTTTCGTGCAATAAGCCTATATCATTGCTGGCAAGCAAAATGTCATCAACATATAAAACTAGAAAAATATACTTACTCCTACAGAACTTATGGTATATGCAATCATCGACCAAATTCATCTCAAAACCGAACGAGATGATCACTTAATGAAACTTGAAATACCATTGTCGAGATGCTTATTTAAGTCCATATATGGATTTCTTAAGTTTGCAAACCATATTCTTTAAGTCTCCCGACACAAAGTTTCTGGTTGCACCATATAGATTGTCTCATCAATGTTTCCATTGAGAAACGATGTCTTTACATCCATCTGATGTAACTCAAGATTGAAATGCGCCACTAATGCCATTATAATCCTGAAAGAGTCTTTTGAAGAAACCGGAGAGAAAGTCTCTTTATAGTCGATGCCTTCCTTTTGTGTAAAGCCTTTTGCGACAAGACGCGCCTTGTACCTCTCCACATCGCCTTTTGAATCCCTCTTGGTCTTAAATATCCATTTGCAACCAATGGGTTTCGTACCTTCTAGCAATGGGACAAGATCCCACACGTCATTATCCTTCATGGACTTAATCTCCTCATTCATGGCATCAATCCACTTTTGAGAGTTAGAACTTTCCATGGCTTGACGGAAGTTGATCGGATCCTCTTTCATCACTCCAATGTCTACCTCATGTTCTTGGAGAAATACAATGTAGTCATCTGGCACTGCACTTCTCCTTTCTCTAGTGGACCTCCTTAATGGCATAAGTTCTTGAGGTGGTAGAGTTTGTTCTTCTGGAACAACTTGTTGTATGGGAGGTTCTCTGACATTGTCTTAATACGTTGTGTCTTGAACAAGGTCAGGAATGAGATCCTGATCAATGCCAATAGCACATGTGGGAATATCAACATATTCCTCTTCGAAGACAAAGTCCCTAACTGTATCTCCCCCCGCAAACTCGACATCCTCAAAGAACTGAGCATTTCCCGACTCGAAAATCGACTTAGTCGTAGGATCATAAAACTTGTACCCCATGGATCTTTCAGAGTATCCAATAAAATAACAACTCACCGTCCTTGAGTCCAGTTTCTTTTCATTAGGCCTATAAGGCCTTGCCTCAGCTGGACATCCCTAAACATGCAAGTGTTTTAAACTAGGCTTCTTGCCCGTCCAAAGCTCGTAAGGGGTTTTGGCAGTCGCTTTAGTTGGAATCCTGTTAAGGATATATGTTTCAGTCTTAAGAGCTTCTCCCCAGAGTGATTCTAGTAAGGTTGAATGACAAATCATACTCCTCACCATGTCCTTAAGCGTCCTGTTTCATCTTTCAGCAACACCATTCATAGTGGGCGAACCCGGCATAGTGTATTGTGGGACGATACCGCATTCCTCTAGGAACTTAGCAAACGGTCCTGGACGTTGTTCACCTGAACCGTCATATCTACCATAGTATTCACCACCACAGTCAGATCTGACACTTTTGATTCTTTTGCTAAGTTGGTTCTCAACTTCAGCCTTATAATTTTTGAACATATCCAGCAACTGTGACTTTTCATGAATGAGATATATGTAGCCATATCTAGAAAAATCGTCTATAAACATTATAAAATATTGTTGACCATTCCAAGCAACTGTAGGAAATGAGCCACAAATGTCCGTATGTATAAGCTCTAAGACGTCCAATTGGCTTCAAATCTCCTTAAGAAGCATACATTTCTTAGCACGCCATGCGTGATAGTTGGTACAATGCTTCTTCTTATGCCCTTCAACTCCACAGAAGTAACAACTCGTACCTTCCGGTTCAACCAGTTTTTTTTATGGTTTCTTCTGAAGTGTTGTATCTGCAGCTTCCTTCTTCCTTTTCTTTCCCTTGTTCTTATCCTTAGAGGTTGAGGACAGGTGAGCACTTTCTGCCTTAT